CAATTTCTAAGATCACATCTTCCAAAACACTGAGTAGTTAGGCACAGACATACAGCAATGCAAGGGCATTGTCAAACCGCTTTGAAAAACAGCTTTTCAGCTAAACAAAATGATCATTGTGTCCATTTGTGATCAATGCCACATAGCGCAGCAAAAATATAAAGCGCTACAGTTAAAGGCTTTGATGGTAATTCAGGGCAGAATAGACACACCGGCATGGTATTTATGAATAAAGCATTGCAATTTGCTGACGTTGGAAATCTATTCGCCAACTGCAGTTAAACATTCATGAGCACATACTGCTACCATGTCCAAGACCCGCACAATATACTGGAACTGAACTTTACAAATACGCTCTCACTCCAGCTTATTAAAATCTGAGAAAGGGGGGTTGGCATCTCAACAGAATGCTTCCACTTTTGGAGAGGATCAAATCTAAAGGTCACCAAAATAAAACTGTCACTAATAAATCTATGAGGGAACGCAACAGAAACTACTTTATCCAAAGAATGGTTAGAATATTCAACTCATTACCACAGAGAGCAGTTCAGACGAACTGCAGAGATGCATTTAAGAGGACACGAGAGAGGAATAAAATGAATCGAAGGCATGAGGAAATTCTGATGCATTATAAATAATGGCACTAATGCAACGGTTCCAATGAGCTGTTTCATTAGCCGTTTTACATAGAATGTACAGCCAAAGTTTCATCCTAGTAATATCACAAATAACCTGTTCATTTATGACGAGTGAACTTAATTATGTCAACTTCGAAAACGACATTGAAGAAGATAATTAAAAACTGAAGGCACAAACAGAACACTCTATTAGTTGCTTTTCATCGAAACCCACCCCTCCCCAATGTAAAATCTACAACTCCACTCTCCGTACACAGGGAGAAGGGTGTGACAAGAAACTTGCTTCCATGTCCTGTCAACAGGGCTCCACACCAGCTGATGACAGTGTTAAAGAGTTTCACTTCTTTGACTGTCTCTGGAACCTGTACCTCCCACAGAGAAAAGCTTAGCCTCCGGACAGTTTCAGATGATTTCAGGAGCTTTAATGAACGAAGAATTTACGGCATGCACCTCTTCTTCATTGAGTGCCTCACTCCACAAGTCAGTGCACATGGACTGTTCATCAGCTGAACCAGTTTCCCATGACAGCTTTGTACTTTTAAAACTTACAACCATCATGAATATGATGCAGTGTTGGCATTATGGTGATCGTTCCAAACGTTTCTTATTCATGTACTTATCCAAATGTCTTTTAAACGTTATAACTGTACCTGCATCCACCACTTCCTCTGGAAGTTCATTCCACACACAAACCACTCCCTGTGTAAAAAAAACTGCCCGTCAGGTATTTTTTAAATCTTTCTCCTCTCACCTTAAAATTATGCCCCTAGTCTTGAAATCCCCCACCCTAGGGAAAAAACACCTGTCATTTACCTCATCTATACCCATCATGATTTTATAAACCTCTATAAGGTCAACCCTCAACTTCTTATGCTCCAGGGGAAAAAAGCCCCAGCCTATCCAGCCTCTCCAGTTAACTCAAAGCCTCCATTCCCAGCAACATCCTGGTAAATCTCTTCTGAATCTTCTCCAGCTTAATAACATCCTTACTATAAATGGGTGACCAGAACTTTACTGGGTGACCCAGTAAAGGCCTCACTAATGTCCTGTACAACGTCAACATGACATCCCATCTCCTATACTCAATGGTCTGAGCAATGAAGACAAGTGTGCTGAATGCCTTCTTAACATTAGTTCTGCGAATTGTTAGAGACGACTGATTTCAATAAAATCTGGAATTAAAACTGGCTGAATGCCGACCATGTAACGACTGGACCCAAAACATTAACTCTGTTTTTTCCTTCACAGATGCTGCCAGACCTGCTGAACTTTTCCAGCAACTTTATTTTTGTTCCTGATTTACGGCATCCACAGTTCTTTCGATTTTTATGTAACCACTGTTGTTGCTATAAAAAAAACTTACTTGGTTCACTAACATTCTTTCAGTAAGAAAATCTCCTATTTGTACCTGGTCTGGCCTACATAAGACATCAGAGCAATGTGGGGGACACAAACTGTCCAGGTAATTAGGAATGAGCAATAAATGTTGGCCCAGCCAGTAATGCCCACATACTGATTGACTAGATTGCCTTATAAGGAAAAGTGAGACAGACTAATTGTCTGTTGAAATTTAGTAATGTCAGAGATGACTTAATTGAAGCATACAAGATCCTAAGGGGACTCGACTGGGTGGATGCGAAAATTATGTTTCCGCTTGTGGGGGGAATCTAGAACTGGGGTCAGAGTTTAAAGATAAAGGGATTGTCCGTTTAAAACAGAGACAAGGAAACATTTTATTGTGAGGGCTAAGAGTCTTTAAAAATTAGTGGATGCTGAATGTTTAAATAGTTTTAAGGCAGACTTGATTACCAATGAGATGAATGATTATTGGGATCTGCAGGAGCATAGTGTTGAAGTTAAAAATCAGATCAGCCCTGATCTTACTGACTGGTAGAACAGCCTCGAAGGGCCGAGTGGCCCTTCATGAATAAAACAGAAGTGTTGGGTTATCATTGGACATGAAATTAGTTAACCTGGGGAAAAAAAACTATTTCGTTATGTTGAAACTGTCAGTCAAACAGAAATAACTGAGGTTGGCTAATGACTGACTGCAGTCTTAATTATAGACATTGACTTTATGGGCACTCTGTTCTTTGCAATACCAAATGTCTGGATAGCTGAAATAGCAGGATTCACACAAGGAACGGGTTAAGAGTTTTACAGCAAATTAACATTTCCTCCGCGCTAGTGCAGAGCTTCTATCTCGAGTATTATTTAGCTGGAAACGCGCTGAAAAAAGACCCTGTTTACTGACAATACATTCCCAGGATGTGAATCACAATTCAAAAAGAAAAGCCTGTGATCCACATGGCTGTTTTATCCATTTTCCCAATGTCTGATGATTTCACAATGTGCTTTCATCATCACTTCCTGGAAGTTTACACCCTGGCTGGAACCAGTTAATCATGTTTATGCAGTTTCTATCTCCGCACCTTCACTCCCAATGTGAGTTCACAGACAGCTGTGCCGCAGCACACGAGTCTATTTATACTATCTGGCGATTCCTTTGCAAAATGATTGGCATACAGCGGGGTGAGGAGCTTTGCATTTTCTCCCCCGTCGATCAATAAAAGTTCAGACACAAACATTAGTGTAATGCTAACAAGGCGTTACTGCAAACATCAACTGTTGCGCCTCTCCCCGTAAGCAGCAACAGGAAACACTTCGGGTTAGATTTACACAACCTTCCAACTTCAGCAACATAGGGGACACGTGTCCTACTTCAGCGGTGGTCCAATGTTAACCTGTTTGGAGTACATTTGTGTGTGCTGCAAAAATACTTCTGAAGGATCACAATGTGGTACCCAACGTCCTCATTTCCTGGATCCACTTTTACATAATAAGCTCTTACAGTACAACCGTGAGCTGAGCTTTTCCAACAATTTCTGTTTTGTTTCGTGTTTAAAAAAAAAACACAGGCTTATCCAAAAGTATGTTCTGAGGAAGGTTAACTCCGATTTCTCTTTACAAATGCTGCCAGACCTGCTGAGTTTTTCCAGCAATTTCTATTCTTGCATCCAAAAGTATGCTTTTTTTTAAACAGTTTAGATCTCGATGCAAAATTAGGTTATAAGTTAGTTGCTAACCCTAGCAAGTAACCTATTCCAGTTTCACTGCCTTGGATGCTGACTTGCCGAGGGCGAATCTTTTAGTTCAGACTAAAGCAAAATACTGCGAATGCTGGAAATCTGAAATAAAACCAGAGTGTTGGAGAAACTCAGCAGGTCTGGCAGTATCTGTGGAGAGAGAAAACACGGATAAACATTTTGAGTCCGCTTTGTCTCTTATTAGATTTAGACATTAGATTCGAAATGTTAACTGTTTTTCTCTGCACAGATGCTGCCGAATTTTTCCAGCACTTTATTCCGAAGCATCCTGTCAGGGGAGAGGGGGTGATTTGGAACGGAAAGATTAGTGATTTAAGATGCAACTTGTGCTTTGTGTGTGTGTGACTATTGCAAATCGCTGCAGCATGTTTCAATGTTACTTTCCCTAATACTTGACCAATTTATTCACCGCTAGCTTGTATCTTTTTTTGGGGGTGGGGGGTTGTCAGGGCGGGTTTATTTTTTTTTAAATGATTTTATAGAAATGGAACTTTAACGACGCGGGAGGAAACATTGCAAGCGAAATTGCACTGTGCTGGGAGAACAGTACATGTTCCCAGTCGCCCCTCCTTCTCTCCTGTCCATGAACTGAACTCTGAACAGCAAGATACCGGGTTGGAGCAAAGCCGGAGCTTGAAGCAAGTCGTCTGGCACAAAATAACTGGAAATACCCCACTTCCAGTTGAAGACTGAACTTTGCTGGAAGGCAGCCAAAGAAGGGGATCAAGCCATCTCTACGGCTGACGCTGGAAGCCACATGGGAAAACAGTCAAAGCTAGAAATCAAGGAATTTAACCCCCTTTTTTGTTTTATTTAGATCGATGTAAACCCCCCCCCCCCCCCCCCCAGGAAGCTGGTTTATATAGTTTGGTCTTACCGGACTGTGTTCGGGGGTGGGGGAAAGGCAGGGCAGTTTGGGGGTTTTTTTTGGATGAAAGTTCGACATTTGAAACATTCTTCAATCAATCCTAAACAGGAGAAGGCCCAATGCTTTGACCAGATTCAAACAGGGTTTTTCTCGTTTCCTGCAGCTTCGCGTCATGTCACACACTTGCAAACGCCTCGCTCGTTTGAATTGCAAATCCCCTTTTACACCGAGCGGTTTAATTTTTTTCCTCTGCACAGAACCCCCGCTACAACGGCTCAGTTTGGACACTATTGCTTTCGTATGGGCAACCTTTACAAACGGATCCGTGACACTCAACAGCCTTAGAGCCAGCCCTCACACACAATAGGAAGCGTTAACGCATCTTACCTTTGACTTGCGCCTCATACTCGGTTATGATTTCTTTATCTTTCTTATACCTGGCAGGGGTTGACATCTTCTGGCCCCCTCTCCAACTCCTTCGCCGCTCTACGTGCCGTCCTTTACAATAACGCCCCAAAATCCGTGCCCGCTGTCGTTGGCATTCACTCGGAAGGTGGTAAGGAGTGAGTTGCTGAACACAGTCGGAATCTGACTTGGTCACCCTGGTGATCCCAGAGGAAAGGGAGAGAGAGATGTGCACAGACACCTAACTACAAGGCGATCTGCACCATTCGCTGCTGAGCCTGGTGATACTGATGTACAAGTTTGCAAAGCATTTTCGTTTGGTCGCGGTTTGTCACAGAACTCTGCAAACTTGGTGTATTAGCTGCAGCAGCGCTGACAGAACACCACTGATTCCCTCTTCCTGTTTTTTTTCCGGGTCTTTAAGACTCTTAAAACCTCAGCAGCAACGAGGGAGACAGTACATTTCACACAATCCGCAGCTTCTCTCAGTCTCAGTGGAGAGAAATAGAGAGAATGTTGTAGGGGGATGGGGTGGTCAGTGGGAATAGAGGAAATTGCAATCCCGCGATTGCTCAGAGCTGCCTAGGATTAAACTTTACCACAGCCCCAGCTCCTGCTGCTGGAGAGACTGACTCAGCTTTCACCGGGGACAGCGGAAACCAGCCCCCGGCCAAGATTGATACAAACTCTGACCAATCCCGTCTCCCGTCGCCGGGGCAACGTTCGAAATAGAACGTCTGTGACCAATGGTAGGGCCAGGGGACGGGGCTCTCACACACGCACTGCACCCGCCTCTCAACTCCCCACTCCTTCCCCTCACTTCTCCATCACCTCACTCCTCTTTCCCCCTCTCCTCCGTATTCCTCCTCCATTGCTCCACCCCGTCTTCTCTCCACTCACCCTCACTACTCTTTCCCCTCCTCTCTCCTTCATTCCTCCATCCCCTCTTCTCTCCACTAGCTCCACTCCTCCCTCCCTTCACCTCTCCCCTCACTTCTCCGTCCCCTTCTTCTCCTCCCCACCCCTTCTTTCTCCCCTTTCCCTTTTCCCCCACAACTTCCTCTTCCTTTCCCCCGACTCCACCCCTCTCCCCCACCCACGCCTACCCCCCTCACCTCTTACTTCCCCCTCCCCTTCTCTCCCACCCCCGACCCCTACCCTCACCCCTTCCTTGGAGAAACTCAGGAGGTCTGGCAGCATCTGTGGGGAGAGGGTCGAGATGTGTTTTTAGTCAAAACGCCAAACACGTAAGTTTGATAATAAACACGGATTAGAAATTGCCAAACCAGAAAGGGAAAAGATGCTGGGCTGCCCACGTAATGCAATTCTCCCCAGCACACAGCGATCCATAAGTAATTAAGGAGTTCCGGGGGAAAGGCAGGAAAGTGGAGTTGACGATTATTGAGGAGGGTCGATGGGCGGAATGGCTTACTTCTGCTCGTACGTCTGATGGTTTATGGAGCCGTGCTTTTAACAGCTTATTGCTGCTGTATGTTTTATATTTCCTGCTGTGTTTCCCCTGTCAGTTCTTTGCCTGAATGGTTTCAGTCGATCATCGCTCGTGTGGGATTGGGGGCGGGGATAACTTTAAATATCCTCACTTATGGCCAGTCATGTTTCGCATGTGTACCTGTGGTTATTAAGGATCAGCTCTGCAAATGGGTTTGTCAGGGGTTTCTCCGCCCTTCACTCCGTTTCTTCCCCAGCTCCACATGAAATTGTTTCCAAGTTGGGGAACATAGGCTCCGTTATAAGGCGCTTTTGTTTGCGGAAATACCATAGAAACAAGCCTCCCTCTTATGTAATACGTTCTGAGGAAATGAAAGCCACGTTATTGTGGAAATCACTTCCAGCTGTTAATGCAAGCGAGGCTGCGCGTTTTCAGCTCAGAGGTGGACGATTTTAGTCGCTTTTTTTTTTCCCAAAAGCACATCATTTATTCTTATCTGCATGTCAGGACGGTCTCCCTCTGTTTCCTGAATTGATAACAGTTGCAAAATCCTGCAATGCACTTTTTAGTTGCTGTTAGGTGTCACTGCGACGCCAGAAATTTTCTTGAGGGAGGCTCCATGCATGCAATTACGACGATGTTACCAAAGTTGTTGGAACTGCAAAGGAAAATCTTTTGAAGAAAAAAAAGCGATATTTCTGGAGGAACTCACCAGGCCTGGTAGCATCTGTGGAGAGAAAGCAGATTTAACATTTCGAGTCCAGTGACCCTTTTTCAGAGAAGACTCTCACAAGGAAAATCTTGGGCAAATCTTTAACTATCGGCACACTTTTCTTTCTAATATGCCTTCTGTTTGTTTGGAGTGTAGCATTCTCCTGTTTGTCTTGGTGGGTGAGGAATAGAGTCTTCAGCAACCTGTCTCCCTTTTCAGCAAGGTTTAAGTCATCTCCTGGTGAAGTCCTATGTAAGACCATAAAACACAGCAGCAGAAATAGGCCATTCAGCTCATCCAGTCTGCTGCTTCATTCAATGTGATCCTGGCTGATCTGGTAATCGTCAACTCCATTTTCCTGCCCATTCCCCATAATATTTACTGATTAAAAATCTATATATTTCAGCCTTGAATATACTGAACAACCCAGCCTCGACAGCCCTCTGCAGTGAAGAATTCCACACATTCACTACTCTCTGAGAGAAGAAATTCCTCCTCCTCTATGTTAAATGTGTGACCCCTAACTCTGAGATTATACGCGCTAATCCAAGACTCTACCACAAGGGAAAATAGCCTTTCCACATCTCCCTTGTCAAGCCCCCCAAGAATCTTGTATGTTGCAATAAGATCGCATCCATTCTTCTAAATTCCAATGAATACAGGCCCAATCTGCTGAACCTTTCCTCACAACAGTCCCTCTGTACTCAGTATCAGCCCAGTGAACCTTCTCTCTATGTAGATAATATAATTTCCTTGTTTTCCTTCTATAACATAGTCAACATGCTATTGTCATGCAATATTATTCGGTATCACAGATTTAGAGTCTTGGCCATGAGGAAACATAAGGAGGAACCTGTCTTTACTCAAACATGATGGATATTTGCTGCCCTTAAGGGTGGTGGGAGCAGAGGCAACCAATGATTTTGAGAGGAATTTGGATGGGCACTTGAAGAGCTACTTGAAGTTAAGGAGTGGGTTTGACTGGATTGCTCCAAGGAAAGCCAACTTTGTTACGACAGGCCGAATAGCCTCCTTCTGGGCCTGAGATAACTCCAATGCTCAGTTATTTCATTTTAAGTCTCTACATGTTAGAAGTCATAGTGCCTATAACCTTTGTACTAACCATTAAGATTATCAAGATTAGGAGTATTTTTGATTTGGCATTTGTATGCGAGTAAAAATGTCATTACATATATTATGAATCTATTGAACTTCTGAGACAACTAATGGAAAAACTATCTTGCCATAGAAACCCACTGATTTATTTGTGATCATCATTTGTGATCAATGTATAAATGCCACTTTGTTCTAATAGGTTATAATTCTTCAGTCATATATCTTAATCTAAAGACCCCATGGCACATATCACAGAAGAGCTGGGAGTTCTCAACTGATACCTAAAAGCAGGTTTATCTGCTCTATATTACATTGTTGTTTGTGGGGACTTGCAGTGTGCACATTGGCTGTTACATTTCCTATATTCCAATAGTGGCAACGTTTATAACATACTTCATTTGCTGTGAAGTGTTTGGGACATTCTGAGGTCGTGGCAGATTGTAAATAAATGCAAGATTTTTATCCTTGGAATCAGGACAGATACAATAGACTGGATGATCTCCATCTGTACTGTAACCTTCAATGGGTGGAGATACTTGCGTAAATAATCATTCAAGAATTTTGCACAATATAAGTGAGGTTAAATTGGCATACTGAGCCTTGTCTGGTACAAGTCATCTTGACATAAAGGCAACAACAGTAACTTGCATTTGTGTAGTATCTTTACAACAGTGCAACATCCCATAACACTTTTCAGAACTGTTACCACACAAATACTGTAGTTGACACAAAGTTGGAGACACTAGGGCAAGTGCCTGAGTGCTTGGTCAAAGAGTCCCTCATAAAGAGAGGTGAAGAGGTTTAAGGAAGGAATTCCAGTACCTGTCCACAGCTGAAGACATAGCCGTCAATGATAGAGCCAACGAAGTGGGAGTTAACCAAGAGACTAGAATTAAAGGAATCGAAAGTACCTAAAAGACTGTTGAGCTGGAGAAGAGAATGACTGGGATCACAGATAGATTGAACAGTGCCCATAGACCCATAGAACAAATGAACAATGCAATGAACATTACAGCACTGGAAGCAAGATAGGTCAGTGAATGCAAAAGACGGGAATGGGACTTACTATGGATTAGGATGTGGGCAACAGGGTACATGAGAAGTCATAGCTACTGCACAAATATACTCCTTTTACACATATCTATATCTACCAGATGAAAGCTGCAAAGAAACCTTTGATTATGTTTTGAAAATGTCAAATTCTGTCTTAATTAAAGTTACATGCTGATATTTTGTTTAGAAGGTAGTGTGTTTCACTGTTTCTCCTGAGGTTTGCCTGCTGGAGACAAAACAGTGTGTAGTTAGAATGTTTATACTGCACATTGTGGATATTTTGTTCCTCTCTAGTACTTGCAGTTTCAGAGAATGTGCATTGTGCCAAATATTAATCTTGCTGAACAGTAAATAGCAATTACTGGGGATGTGCAATTTGATTCTTTACCACTGAATTTGTCTGAAGTCTGGAGCAAACCTACATCAGGAGGTTGAAACTAATTAAAAACAGTAGGTTGAAATCAGAACAGGAACAGAGATTTAAAACCTGCAACCAAAATTCACTCTTGGCAGCTCTGAAAAGGAGTCATAATAGACTCAAAATGTTAATACTGTTTCTCTCTCCACAGATGCTGCCAGATCCAGTGGGTTTCTCTCACATTCTCTGTGTTTCTAAAGTTCACTCTTTCTTGCATTCTTTAAAGGTCAAAATGAACAAAACTGTGTTGTAATTTTACTTGACATCTGTCATTCTGCTAACATTGTTTTCCTTTAGCAAGGATAACTTGATCTTGGCCTCAGTTTGGCTCAACTTGTGGCATTCTCACTATGATTTGAACATATAACATAGGTTGACATATCAGACTGGTGCCAAGGAAGCAATGTAGCATGGTTGTTGGAGGCAATAACTTTTCCATGAAATGTGAAATCAGGTCCGCACACTCAAATGGACATCAAAAAGAGAAGCAACTGTGACCGCTGTCCTTGGCAACACTCAGCTTACAACCACCACTGTCACAGAATCATCAAATCCCCACAATGCAGAAAGAGGCCATTTGGCCCATCGAGACTGTACTGACTCTCCGAAGAGCATCCCACCTAGACCCAACCTGTCGCCCTAACCCCGCATTTAGCACGGCTAACCCACCTAGTCTGCACATACCTGGATGGTACAGGCATGGCCAATCCACCTAACCTGCATGTCTTTTAACTGCAAGGAGGAAACTGGAGCATCCGGCACAAACCCATACAGAATATGCAAGGTCCACATAGACAGTCGCCCAAAGCTGGAATAGAACCCAGGTTACCGGTGCTATGAGGCAGCAGTGCTAAACATTGTGTCACCAGTATAATGTCATGTGCCAATACAGATGAAATTGTCAGTACTCTATTTCCTGCTGATGGTGCCTTGCTGCATGCAAATTAGCTGCCATGTAACTTCAAAACTAATCCCTTTGCTTTCAAATGTTTGTTGCATATTTTTAGCCATAATGAGGGATGCCACTCAGGGCATTCATTGGACCAAGTTCTAGGTCAGTTTTAATATGGAACCATGCAGTGATTTCTTCGAGGCAAAGATATGCCACAGCTCTGCTGTTAGATTCTTTACCATTCCAATGCAAAGTTGGCATTGCCAGTTGGATGCACTCCCCCACAAACCAGCCCTCCAGTCATCCTGTTTCCTTCCTATACAATTGAAGATATCACATCATAGCCTCAGACTCACTGCATACTGTGAAACTGCAAGTCACTCTTATTTCACAAAACCCTTGTAAAGGACAGAGGCAGTCTTTTTTAAAATCCCACAGTTCAGCTCTGGATTCAAATTCCTGCACCAGTGGGTTGAAAGATCATTGAAACAGCGCAAGATCTTGAAGTGTTAATTTCAGATGCACCAGAATCTTACATTATGCAGGAGCTGAATACTGTGAGGTTTGCAGCAGTAAATATTAAACAGAGCTTTCTTGGAATGTTAG